ATTGTATATGCCACCTCAGTCATGGGCCCTTCTTCTTCTACATGTTGGTCTTCAACCCAATCAGAAGATGCCAATACCTCCTTTGCCTCCCCCCTCTGCGTCTCCAGAAGTCAGGTGAGGAAGCAGCTGGAGATACTGAACCGGAATAAGGCTGCAGGTCCAGATGGTGTCAGTCCCAGAGTCCTGAAAGTCTGTGCAGAGCAGCTCTGTGGGGTTTTGCAGCACCTCTTCAACCATAGCCTGATCCAGGAGAAGGTTCCAGTGTTGTGGAAAACCTCCTGCCTTGTTCCAGTACCAAAGAAACCTCACCCATCAGTCCTCAATGACTGTAGATCTGTTGCCCTGACATCCCACATCATGAAGGTCCTAGAGAGACTTCTGCTGACTCACCTGACTAAACAAACAAGCACATATCATGACCCACTGCAGTTTGCTTATCGGCATGGACTTGGAGTTGAAGATGCCATCATATACCTGCTTCAGCAAACTCACTGTCATCTAGAAAAGGCAGACAGCACTGTGAGAGTCATGTTCTTTGATTTCTCCAGTACATTTAACACAATCCAGCCTGATTTGCTTTGTCAGAAACTCCAGAAGACTCAGGTGGAGGCCTCAACAATCACCTGGATCAAAGATTACCTGACAAACAGACCACAGTTTGTGAGACTGAAGGGCTGTGTGTCTAATAAGGTGGTCAGTAGCTCAGGAGCACCACAGGGGACTGTACTCTCACCATTCCTCTTTCACCCTGTACACCTCAGATTTCCAGTACAAAACAGACTCCTGTCATCTGCAGAAATATTCAGATGACTCTGCAGTGGTCGGGTGTATCAGAAATGGACAAGAAGCTGAGTACAGGGAACTGGTGGACCTCTTTGTGGCATGGTGTGGAAACAATCATCTCATCTTGAATGTGAACAAAACAAAGGAGATGATTGTAGATTTCAGGAGAAACAGGAACAGATCCAACCCTATTTCCATCATGGGAGAAGAAGTGGAGGTGGTGGAGAAGTATAAATACCTTGGGGTTCACCTGGACAACAGACTGGACTGGAAAATGCAACAGTGAAGCGTCTACAAGAAGGGACAGAGCAGACTGTACTTCTTGAGGAAGCTGAAGTCCTTCAACATTTGCAGCAAGATGCTGCATATCTTCTATAAGTCTGTTGTAGAGAGCGCCATCTCTTCTGCCATCATCTGCTGGGGTAGCAGCACCAGAGCAAGTGACTTAAAAAAGGTCAACAAGCTCATAAAGAAGGCTGACTTAGTTCTGGGGACTCCTCTAGAACCTTTGGAGATGATTGTACAAAGAAGGATTCTTCATAAAATGAAGAACATTATAGATAACCCTCAGCACCCTCTTCATCAGACTGTCATACAACAACAGTGTCTTCAGTCAGAGGCTTCTTCAGATCTGTTGTAGGACAGACCGCTACAAGAGATCCTTCCTGCCCACAGCCATCAGCATCTATCACAACTCATTAATGAAACCAGAATGATGAGTTACAACAACATTTATTTTCCCTCTGGGATTAATAAAGTATTTTTGAATTGAAATGAATTGAATTCATCTTTATGAAGTAAACTACCTTATTGTCAATAACTTATGGATACTATAGAAAATGTGTTCTTTAGATACCAGTCAAAACAGTGATATTAAGGATTTTTCAGTAAATTATTGGGGGTACCATCCTTTTCAAGCCAATTATAGCACTGGTGCTCCAATTTTTGTACAACCAGGTGTAAAATATTGGAAAATAAATATCTTTAAAATAAAATAGGTTGCTTTAAACTTGCATTAAACTCATAAAATAAGCACTTTTTGACCGGTGGCTGCCCAGCTATAATGTGTTTATAGGGGGATCTGGTCCCATATGACTTGGTGGTCGAGTCTCCCTACTGGTTTGAAGCACTTCCGTTTTGAGGAGTGAGTTTGGAGTGTTTCTTACAGTTCTTTTGGGGGATTTTAATGTTTTAGGTATTTGTAGCAGTTTTTCCTTTACATTTCTTTGCTGTTTGTATGTTTTTTCTTCTGTCTATTTTCTGTGATTGCAGATTTTTTTCATGTGCAACTTTTAATTTGTTGCATTAGTTTTTTTTTTTTTTTTCTTGTTTTGAAATTTGCATCATTCATTTGTTTGCAGCACAGCGTGTTTGCGTCTGTCGGCCACTGTACTAGAATTCAATTCAATTTCAATTCAGTTTATTTATATTGCACCAAGTCACAACAGAAGTCATCTCAGGGCACTGAACAGAAACATTAATATATAAAAATAATAATTTAACATTATTTATCTGAGGAGCAGACTGCTTTGAATTTAACTCCATAGCAGAACTCTCATCTTGAGCAAGCATGAAGGCGATAGTGGAAAGGAAAAACTCCCTCATGAGGAAGAAAAGCAGAACAAGGCTCAGGACAAGCGACCATCTGCTTCGACCGGCTGGGTTTGGTAGGATGTTGGCAATGACAATGGCAATATTACATAAACTTCATGTACATTGATATTTCATTTGACTTGAGTGATGTTTTATCTTACATTATTTGCTGCTGTGTTTTAATATTTTTGCCTTATAGCCCATGTAGTCAGGTAGGATTAGTTTGGGTACCACACATCTATGTGTGTACAGTGTGCTAAGAAAAGCATGGTGTGCCATTATAGGTCAATGAATAATGTTGTAGTGCCCCTAAGTGGATTGAAGTGCATTGAACAAATTCTGTTGCTCTTTTATACTGATACTTTATATCCAGATAGACGCTTGGAATAGCATAATAGTATACTATTATTCTATTCTGTAGGCCTCCTTTTTTGTAATTTCATAGACAAATAAATTAAAAGATTTTAGCTAGTTTTTTTTTCTCCTTTTTATAGTGTTTGTAAGGTGTATTTAAATTTAACTTACATTTAGATTCTACATACAACTTGTTGATGTTTATTGTATTCCAAATGAACTTGTTGGTTTGTTTGTAAATTGACAATAATTGATTTAATTACAATTTGAAGACTTTTATTAAGCTCCACCCCTTTTTGACGTAACCATTGTTTGGGCCGTGACGGTGCTTGTACACGTAGCCTAGTAGGATGTGTCAATGGAAGATGGTGGCGGTGTGTCAGGCTCACTGCCCTAGACATTTGTAAGAATTTATTTATATCTGTACACATTTCCAACATCGGGTAAGCATAAATATACAACATAAATACTAACACATCACTCTGTACATGTACATATTGTGTCCTTAAGCGGGATTAAACTGTTATGTTGTGTTTAGCTTTTAGGCTAGTTAGCAGTTGTGCTAACTAAGCAGTGATGCTAAGGCTAGCTGACCAGGCAATGAACCTGTTAAACTACGCTCATCGAGGGGCAAGCGACGTGTAACTTTCGGTGTGTTCTTGTTACTGTGAAGTTCATACGAAAATGACAATACTTTGCTTATCTCACTTAACTCCATGTAAGAGCTTGAAACTTACGATAGCAGATGACATGTAACGCAACCCGTTAGCTGTCGAGCAAAGCTCTCTGGACTCAGTCTTTTTAGGCAACTTAATCATGTGTAACAGTAACTTCATGACGAATCAGACCAAACAGGATCGGACGAAGTTGCACAACAACTTTCAGATATTGGTGAAAAGTCGCCAGTTTACATAGAACTTTTCATGACTTTTTGTAATGGCGATGCACAGCTGTGGTTAGCTTACCAAGTTGAAACTGCTTCATTTATAACCGGTTCGCTAGAAAGATCTCGGATCACATATTGATCCTCCCCGCTTTAGACTCATCAGATTCTCATAGGTCTTCTAAATTTGCAAATCACATGTGAGGAATAGGAAGTTTTCAGCTAGAAAACTGCATAAGTCATAAAATCACACATCTTCTTGCATGGCTAAGTTTTGCTATTGTAAAGTTTTATGATTGCATAACAGCAGGGACACTGTTCCGCTTTGTGGTGTGTGTGTAGGCATGAACATATTAAAGATGACATCTTACAAAGGACTGATTTTAATAAAGCAGGTGCTTTTTATGCCCACTGAAGTTAATTTTGTTTGTGTGGTGGACACCAGAGTTACTTGAAAAGGAAAACATGAAAATATTTGCCTGCAATTTATACCTAAAGTCAATTAATCTTCAGAGTAAAAGTGTTCATCTTTTAAAAATGATAATGATCTTGGTTCATTTTGTTTTAGTCCTGGGTGAAGGATGTGAAATTGGACTACTTCGTTATTACTATTTTTTAAAGATAACTAAAAAAAAAATAGTGAACAAGAAAAGTAAAATGCATGAGATTTAAAATCTCTTCTACCAAAATATTATGCAGCTTTCTGATCAGCACTAATAACACAGCCATGCAATAAAACACAAAATAAGTGTATAAATATAAATATAAAGTTAACTACAGAAAGATCTGAACTACATGATAACTAGAGAAACCTTTGATATCAGAATATATCTGAATGCCACTGTCAACACTGTTCATATTATTTGTTGTTTCCAAGTCCTTTAAAATTTCTCTAAATTATATTACTACTATTTATATTATTTAAAATATATACAACTTGTAAGTGCACAATAGGGTTTGGAATTAAATGGAACACAACTTGAGATGACAGATAAATTTGAAGTACAATGGTGAAAAAGATGGTGCAAGGAGTTTTTGGAATAAAACTTAAAAAAAAAAGTTCTTACATTGTGATTTGTTTTGTCACAGAAACGTTGCAGACTGACAAATGTGTTCAAACGATCAAACTTCTGGAGTTTATGCAGCACAAGTCATAGATGTCAGGCAACTTATTTGATTCAGGCCACATTATGTGAATATAATTGCTTTCAATTAAAATTTATTAATTTTTCCCTTGAGTGTGGTAATTTGCACAGTAGCAGTCAAAAGTTTAGTCATGTCTCAATTTGTTTTGAATAAGTAGGTATGTTTAGGCTTTTGGTTTGTACTAAATGCAGTGTTATTTTAGAGCTGATGTAAAAGTTGCCACGTTGTTCTTTTTACACAAATAAAGGTGTGGTAAAGTTCATTAAAAGGATACATGTAGCTTTTGTGAACCACTCCCTCTTGCTTTTTCTTTATCCAGCTACATCTGACTTCGGTCTCTTCAGTGACGTTCTTAAGAGTGACCTGGTCTTCGGACCTGTCGGCTCTGTAGATATGCAACCCCCTCCTTGGGCTGGACCTCCAGGATCCAGTGGGCCACCTCCTTCTGGACCCAATATGTTCCGCAGGACCAGGCCTCAGAAGCAAGGAATAGCAGCGACTGCCACAATGCCTCCACCTACCCAACCCATGACTGATCCTTTTGCTTTTGGCAGAGCTCAGCCCCCTATAGCTGCAGGTGGACTTCCAACAATACCAAACAGTAACCCTCCCCAAATGCAAACCCCGCCTAGCACCATCTACTCTCAGCTTGGTCCTGGCCTGCCTCCACAACCGTCAATGCTAGAAAATATTCCAGCTGCACCAACTTGTCACCCACCATCCTCTATGCCAGGGGTGACTTTATTTAACCCTCGTAGTTCAGCATCTCCTGGTGTTTTCCCAGCACCGAGTTTCACAGGATCTGCATCTTCTAATAGTGAACAAGATTATTTTAATTCAAAATATCAGACACCAACCACTTCCACAGAATTGCCACATATCGCGCCAACACCTAGTGAGACACCTTTTAATCAGGAATTTCAAGGACAGCCTGCTCTTCATCCTGCACCCTTTCAGCCGCCCGCCCCTACTTCCTCGTCTGCCCAGTGGGTCCCTGATCATGGAAGTCGCCCTCCATCAGTTCAAAACTATTTCCAGCCAACTAGTGATCTTCCATTGCATTCTTTAAATGTCACTCCACAGACTCAGACGTATCCTTCCCACAGCCAGTCACCCCCTACACCTCCAGTTCAACCAAGACATCCACACAATCAAGCCTGCCTTCCCCCTCAAAACCCTGCAACATCTAATATTTCCCCGTGGCATGATCCAAATGGACCCCAGCAACAAAAATCACAATTTCAGAGTTACTTTAATCAAAGCTCTGAGCTCCAGGACATTTGGTTTAACCAATCTCCACAGGACTCAGGCTATCACCAAATGGCAATTGGTCCGAGCCATTCTCAACCTGTTGCAGACTCTGCAGGATATCAGCACGTGTCTAACACTGGGCATGGACCTAACACTGGACATGGACCAACTACCAGACCAGGGCCTACTTCTGATTCTGCCTCAGATCTATGCGCTCAGGAATCTGGTACACTCTCAATGTTTTTCAAAGACAGTGATGTGGAAAATGAGGAAACACTCTCTGATGAAAAAAATAAGGCATTAAATGGGGTTGTTGGTTTTTTCCAGCCTCATAGCAATCCACAAACGGACAGTGGTCATGCAGATGCTTCCTTGAATTACCAAGGAGTCTCTGTTCAAGATAATTCACACCTTCCCTATATGAATGAAAGCAATTCCCAGGGAAATCCTCAGAAGCCTCCTGATGCTCGGTTAGACCATGTAGAAAATTTGGAGTGCATCCCAAATCAGGAAGTATTACCTAGTGAGATCTACAACAGTACTGCTGTCACTGCCCCACATGGAGTGGACCAGTTTGAAACTGGGCCAAACCTGGAAACTCCAGATTCAGTTCCACGACCAATGAGATCTGCTAGTGTGTCATCCAATTATAGCAATCTGAGCCATGGAAGTGGTACTGGCACCCGTCGACAAAAAGGAGTTGAAGGCACCTTTATTCAGCAGGAAAGCCCACGTCTTGCTGATAATGCTAACCCATCTGCTGCTACTGGAGGCTACTTTGAGCAGATTGATACTTCTCCAGCTGGAGATGCGGGCAGGCAACAGAGTTCCCTAGAACAGACGTGGCATCCAACACCTAGCCCTCCAAAACCAACGGGCATTTTTCAAGCAAGTGCTAATAGCTCCTTTGAACCTGTGCGCTCACATGGAGTAGGGGTACGTCCATCTGAGGTGGATAGGGCTAAAATGGTGGCTGAAGGAGGCACTGACACATCTGGCAACTTGGAGCAGCCACCAGATAATATGGAAAATATTTATAGTCCAGGACGCCCCCCACCTGGAGCTACTGCTGGAGGTGGAATACCTCATCTGACACACCCAGTGGTTCATTCTCGGCCTTCATCTCGCGCTTTTGGGGCCAATCGTCCCTGTGAAAGTCCTGCTACTACTTTGTGGGCTCAGAATGATCCCACAAATTTGGGTGCTAACATCCTTCTTGCTCCCGCTGCCCCAACAGTTCTAGCTCCTTTACGAGAACCCAGTGCTGATGTCATCCAGCCACCCGAAGATGGTCCACTGGACCTGCAGCCTTTACAGAGAATCCAGCCAACTTGTCACCAACACTCGGAGAACTTAGAAAACCCACCAAAGGTGAGTGATTCAGAGCCAAATGACTCTCAAGGCAACCTGGGCTGTACTTCTCTCCTCGTATCTGGCTCATTTCATCAGCCTGTTTTAATTGCCCCACCTGTCTCCAATTACAATATGATTCCCATCAGTGCTCTGGCTCAATCATCCACCCTGAGTAGTCATGTGGAAACTACCCTACCTGAGAGATCACTTGCTCAGGGGCAGGGTGCTAGTTGTACGCAACCACCGTTTTTACCTTCTAAAGAAAATCCACTCTTTTCTTCCGGATCCATGACTTTCTGTTCATCAGCTTCTAACCAGGGTCCACTTAATTTGACTCGAGACAAAATGATTGAGGCAATATCAGAAATAGCTGCTTCACCGCAGTCCCAACCTGTTCATCCCCCTCTTTCAAGAAGCCAATCATTGAGTGGAGACAACCATTCTACTTTTCATGTTAATTCACCGTCTTCTTCTCTTGTGGCTGCTTCTGTCTCTAATTATAATCAAGCATCCAATTTTGAACTACTTGATTTTTCTATGCACCAATCACATGTCCATATCCAAGCGTCTGACCAACCTCCTTCTCTACATGAAATGCCTCCATCTAGTAATGGATTTTACCTGCAGGTCACCAAAGATGCTCAGCAGGGGGCAAAAGGGGGAGGAAATGCCTCTGCCCAAATCACAGCTTCATTACCTACCCCACAGGTACCATTAGCAAGTGCTAACATGCAGCAAACTCTAAATGAATCTTCTCAGACATCCGATTCTCAGACTGCACAGATAGGACAAAAAGAGGCTCATTCTGTTCCTGTGAGTGGAGCACAACCTCCCCCTAGTCAAAGTTCAACTTTAGCACAAGGACCTACTGCAGGGAGTGCTCCTATATCTGCTTACCCTCCTGGGCCACAAGGGCCAGTACCTTCACGGACTTCCCATCCAGCTTCAGCAGAGCCACCTCGACCACCTTCAACAGCAGGTAGCCATCAAGGTGGCTATGGACCTCCTCCTCCTGAGGCAGGACAGATGTATGGTGGTTATTATGGTAACTATGGCGAATATTCGGATAACAGAGCGTATCCTCCAGGCCAATACCCACCTCCATCTAGAGATCCCAGAGCACAGCCATACTATCAAGTAGGTGTTAATTTTTTATTTAATTTTTATTTTTGTTAACTTGTGAATACCCTTTTGTCATTTTTTTGACAATGTTATGCTGTCCACACAGTTGTGCTTGGAAAACCATTTATACATTTATAACAAACTGTTGTCATGTTCACGTGGGTTCTCTTAATGTATATACTCTTCCCCCCCCCCAGGATGGTTCATACCGGGGCAGAGCAGATCCCTGGTATGGCAGATATGAAGGGCAGAATCCAGGTTACCGTGATCCAAACTATCAATACAGAGAACCACAAACAGATCGGCCCAGCTCAAGGACTAGTCAGTACTCTGACAGACCCTCATCAAGGTTAGTAAAACTTTAGTATATTCTTACTTTGAGATATTTTGTACTTAATCATTTTTTAGCTTTAGACATTGGATTTTTTAACATTTATTTTATGTATAAATATGTACCATTTTAGTTTGACTACCTGACACACCACAATGAAAAGAACCTTTTGGTCAACTAGCAAATTAAGTGTATTTTTGGGATTTTTCTGACCTTTCTGACTGTTTCAACTGCTTAGTGACAAATGTAGCCATTTTTGCACCAACACCTGATATTAATCTATGCTTAAAGCAAAATATTTTTCCTTAGAGACTCAACTATCAGACAGAAGCAATTGCTGCACTACTGAGTGATCTACAAGAAACTGTAGCTTTTTTTTGGCAATGACTTTACATGCAAGTGGAACAAAACAATAACACATAATTTGGTATTTTGCTGCCAAGTTATGCTGCATTCAAAATACCTCTGAAGTGAGAACTCACATCTTTAATTCACATCATTTTCAACATACAGATTATGTAGAGCAAAACATCTGTTTCTATTGTGTAAAATGTCTTGTGAGACACTAAACTCAAATTATTTACAAGGAAATTTTATTAATTTTATTTATTTTACTTGCATTGTGTTGTCATGCGAAACATGTTGGCAACACGATGTATCAGTGGTTAACACTGTTGCCTCACAGCAAAAAGGTCCTTCTCGTGCTTGCGTGGGTTTTCTCCGGGTACTCCAGTTTCCTCCCACAGATCAAAAAACATGCATATTAGGTTGCCTTCAGGCCCTGACCTCCCTTGCAAAAGAGATATGTGATCTCAGTGGGATTTGCCTGGTTTAATAAAGGTTAATAATGTTTATAGTTGCATGGAGCTTCTAAATCTAGGCTACCACTGTCAGTCACCAATTGTGGAGAACTTTCAGTGAACAAACAGTATCACTGTAGACATAGCCAGATTACCTGACTCTACTTGGATTATCGGTCTGCGAAGATGGCGCTGGAAACGCATGCAAAAGCGGGGATGCCAAGCGTCCCCCTCCCACATCTGGCTCAGTCTGACCATCTTTCTTTGCTCCTCATCTCTGCATATATTCCTCTCAGGAGTAACATCAGGCAGATCCCAAAATGTGTTAATACCTGGTCAGAGGCTTCTCTCTTGCAACTGCAGGACTGCTTTGCAGACACAGATTGGAGCATATTCGAACAGGAAGACCTCTTGGATTTCACATAGTCCACTCTAACCTTTGTCAGATTCTGTACGGACAGGGCTGAGGTCATCAAGAACATCCGGATTGATCCAAACTGGAAGCCCTGGATGACCAGGCGCTACTGAAAGACCGTAATACCACCTTCAGGTTGGGTGACCAGGCCCAGTATTGTGTGGCCAGAGCAGACCAGAAAAGAGGAAATAAATATGCCCAAGTGGGCTACAAAAGGACGTTGGAAGATCACCTGGCTGACAACAATCCACGTCAGGTGTGGCAAGGCCTAAAATATTTCACCAATTACAACTCCTCTGTGACTGACGGTGTCAGTGCCTCACTGGCTGAAGAATTGAGTCATCTTTGCTCACTTTGAAACCACCTCTCCTCATACAGCCACACTGCCCCCACATTCCATGAGTCCTCTCACTATCCAGGAATATTAAGTGAGATCTGTGTTCAGGTCTGTGAACATGAAGGCTACAGGGCCGGATGGAATTCCTGCCAGTGTATTGAAGGCTTGTGCCTTTGAGCTCTCAGTGGTTTTTACTAAGATCTTCAATCTCTCCCTGGCACAGGCCTCTGTTCCACCCTGCCTCAAGCCGACCACCGTAATCCATGTCCCTAAAAGCCCAACCATCATCTTCCTCAATGACTACAAGCCAATCTTGTTAATACTGGTGGTTGCCAAATGTTTTGAGAGGCTGTTCGCACAGCATATCAAGAATTACCTCCATCTTGCCTTTGAGCCCACTCCTTTTCACCATCTATACCCATGACTGCATTCCCTCTCATCCCACCAACACCACCATCAAATTTGCAGATGACACCACCTTGGTGGGACTTGTAACTGGGTCGGAGTATAGGGCACAGGCGCAATGGTTGGCAAAGTGGTTTGCCAGGAGCAACCTGTCACTCAATACCAGGAAAATCAAGGAAGTGGTCATGGATTACAGGAAGAGCAAGGCCTGACCTTTCGTGGTTGGTCAACACCACAGTGGTGGTTAAGAAGGCCCAGCAGTGAATCCTCTTCCTGAGAGTACTTAGACTAATGTTACAAAAACTGCTGGTCCATCACAGAACAAAATAGGAAACTCGAGAAATAAGACAAAATAGTTATTTTTCTAGAAAAAGCAGTTATTTTAAAAACTACATTAAACCTGTTCAGCACCCACTGAAAGATGCTGTTTTGAATTTTATGTTAAAGGCCACCTTTTTTCTGATACAACTACTGTATGTTTGCATTTATGCTGGAATACTTTGAGCATATTGCTTTTTCTAATTTTGTTTAAGAAAATTTTACCCTCTGTGTTACTTGGCCTTAAGTAATTATCAAAATGAAAAAGAAAAACCAGACATTTTAAACAAGTATGAGGTATGACTTTAAATATGTTTTTGTTTTTTGACTTGTAAAATATCACTTTGTATTTTCCCCAAAGGCAAGGCTATCCTGATGATTACCAACGAGCAAACCAAAGTGCCTACAGTGATTATTATGCAGAATATCCCAAACACTATGATTATGGAGGTATGAGCTGCAAAACTAAAACCTACAAATATTTTCTTGTATATTTTTAATCTGAATGTTTTGCTTGTGAGTGTTGCTAGATAATGCGCTAAAATGCTTTATGTATTGTTTTATTAATTCTGAATCATCTTAATTCTCTTAAATTTTATTTTATTAAAGGATACAATTATGGAAATTACGACCCACGATACAGAGGATACTACGATCATTCGTATTGGTCATATTACAACGAAGCGTACAGAAACAACTACTATAATCAGCAAATGTATCCTGCCAGGTATGCGTTAAACCTGAAATCTGACCTTGCCAGATATAAATCTTTGGCTGTTTGTACTGTTAACGTGAGTCCTAGTTACTGCTGTTTTATTCACAAATGTGGTCTTCTTACTCGTAGGAAAGAAGGATATGATGATCAGTGGCGGTACTATCCTGGTTATGATGCCAGTTTTGATGATGAAAACCAACGTAGTAGAGACCCGTATGGCGATGATTTTGATCGACGCAGCGTACACAGCGAGAGGTCTGCACACAGTGTGCACAGCTCCCACAGTCAGCACAGCAGACGGAGCAGCTTCAGCTCACGATCCCAACAGGTAAATTGTCTTCATTTAGTCATCTTAAAAGTCTTGTGATTCTATTAGCATGCTCAGGTAGTGCACAGGGATGCACAGATAGTCTTTTTTTGAAGGTATTCCAGTCAATATTACTACTTTTATGGAACTCGTTGCCTGCCAGAAACATTGCACATACTTTTACATCAGCTTTTATGGGTCTGTTACACATAGATATATAAAGCCAGCTGAAATTATTGTTTTAAATGGTCAACAACATGATTAACTTCACAACAAAACTTGCTATATATGGTATGTAACTTATCATGATTTTCTTTTTTATTTAATTATTTTTATTTTCCAGAGCCAGGTGTACAGGAGCCAACCTGACTTGGTATCAGCAGCTTATGACACCACATCATCCACTCTGGCTGTGGACTACTCTTATGGGCAATATCCGAATCAAACCGATGCCTCACAAAACTACAGCCAGTACCCATATACATCAGAATACACTTCAGACAGTAACTGGGTTGCTCCTGAGCAACGTAAGTACACAATCACCACTGAACTTTTTAGGGGTTATACATTTCTAAATTCTAACCTTGTTTTTTGTACAAGTTCAGGTACTTATTTTATGAATGTTATCTTGCCTATAGCTCCCCCTCGTCCTGCGACCCCAGAGAAGTTCACCATACCCCACCGCTGTGCCCGATTTGGACCTGGTGGTCATCTGATTCAAGTCCTGCCTAATCTCCCCTCAGCTGGACAACCTGCTCTTGTCGATATCCACAATATGGAGGTACATTTTAAAAGATCATGCCGTATTGTAGATAGCTATTCATTGTTTTGTACAAAGATTTTAAACTAGACACAAAATTGATTTTAGGTACACGTTTTGTGTGGAACTCCTGTAATACTTTAACTTGGGATGTAATGGTGGTATCTCACTTTTATGTAGCAAGTTTATGTTTTGAATATAGAAAGGTTTTATGTAGGATTTCTTGGTTATATTTTCAGACCATGCTGCAGGACACCACAGATCAGGCTGAACTGCGAGTTTTCCCTGGACCCCTTATTAAGTGAGTATATTTTACTAACTTTATCACACTTTACTAACTATAACTTTAAAAAATGCCCACTGAAAAGATTGGCTATTACTATTAAATCATATAATGTAATGCAAATGTAACATAATAGGACAGTCAGGATAAAATGAATGTGCAATACAATGGAATGCTAATCTGCAATCACTAGAATAGCCATAAATGTTGGTTTTCCTAAGAAAGTGGCAACAGCTTTAAAATGGATCCAGAAAATATCTGTTTACTGCTTTTAAGTTTCTTGATACTAAACTATGCAATACAAAGATTAGATTGGTGCTTGTTATCCTAATATGTACTTGTTATCAGGCAGGAGACCCATAAGGTGGACGTCATAAAGTTTTCTCAAAACAAAGCGCTGGAGTGTTCTCGTGACAACAACTTGTTGGACAGAGACTCTGCCCGCCTGCTCTGGGACTTCATTGTGCTGCTCTGTAGACAGAATGGGGTACGTCTACGCAGATGTAACTGCAAATAATTGTATTTAATAAAAAAAAAGAATTCTTATTATGGGTTGTAATTGTTATTATTTTTAATGTTTTTGTAGACTGTTGTTGGAACAGACATCGCTGACCTTTTGTTGAAGGAGCATCGCTCAGTTTGGCTTCCAGGCAAGAGTCCCAATGAAGCCAACTTGATTGATTTTAACAATGAACCTCTTGCACGGGCTGAAGAGGAGCCTGGAGCCGGACCGCTGTCGCTTCTGTCTGACACTTTTATGATTGTCCCTGAAAACGTTGGCAAGGAAACTGAACGTTTCAGGGAGCTGTTGCTGTTTGGCCGCAAAAAAGTAAGAAAGACGCGTGTTAACTGTATATCAGTCGTTCTTTTTCTTGCAATGAAAAAGTAACTGTCTGGTCTTTAAAAAAGGATGCACTGGAAGCAGCCATGAAGGGAGGTCTCTGGGGTCATGCCCTGTTGTTAGCCAGTAAGATGGACAACAGGACGCATGCACGTGTCATGACAAGGTAAAGTACCTCAGATTATTATAATTTTCGTAAAATTGTATTTATGCAAATTTAAAATTATATTTGACTTTTATTCTAACTATGTTGTGTGTTTTGTTTAGATTTGCCAATAGTTTGCCTATGAATGATCCTCTCCAGACAATGTACCAGTTGATGTCAGGAAGGATGCCTGCATCAGCCACTGTAAGTTTTTGTTAAAACTGGTCTCCTGTAACAGCGTTTTCACAGTTATAGTGTGCAGATCTACACATCCGTAGAGCTATCTCTGTTATTAAATTTATTGAATCCATGCAGTGCTGTGGAGAAGAGAAGTGGGGTGACTGGCGTCCTCATCTGGCCATGGTGTTGTCTAACCTCACTCACAATCTGAACCTGGATACTCGCACAATCACCACCATGGGTGACACTCTTGGTGAGAAGGTTTTAGAAATTTAAATTAACAGCATTAATATTAGTACTTGCAGCCATTTCATTTCATTACCTTTTTATTTTGGTTTGTTTTTACAGCTTCTAAGGGGCTGACGGACGCTGCACATTTCTGCTACCTTATGGCCCAAGTTGGACTGGGAGTTTTCACAAAGAAGAGCACCAAGATGGTTTTGATTGGCTCAAACCACAGGTAAATCCAGTAAAATCCCACTCAAAGCTTTAATTTTCATTAAGATTATCATAAAGTATGGATAAAACAACCCACAAGTCATTTTATCTTTGCATCTTCTCCTCAGTTTGCCCTTTATTCAGTTCGCTACCAATGAAGCAATTCAGAGGACTGAGGCCTATGAGTATGCTCAGTCTCTGGGCTCCCAGCCATGTTCACTGCCCAACTTCCAGGTAACTTTTATTAGTGTTACTTTTAAATTTTGTAAAAACCAAAAGAACACACCAAGAACCTTAATCTATTATAAAATGGTCTTGCTTGCATTGTCTCAGCTTTACATTATTACATTGTTGTCTATGCTTGGAATATTCCTGAGAAATAATTTATTCTTTCTCCCATCAGGTGTTCAAATTAATCTATGCATGCCGGTTGGCTGAGGCAGGCCTGTGCGCCCAGGCCTTTCATTACTGTGAAGTCATCTCAAAGTCTGTCCTTGTGCATCCCTCGTACTACTCTCCTGTGTTCATCAGCCAAGTCATTCAGGTTTGTTTTGGTTCCTACTGGAAACTTCTCATGCGTTTCTTGTTTCTTTGGTAAACGATTGACATATTTCACTTCTGATGCCTCCAGATGTCAGAAAAACTTCGGTTCTTTGATCCACAACTGAAGGAAAAACCTGAGCAGGAGTTGTTTATTGAGCCTGAATGGTTGATTCGCCTCCGACAGTTGGATGGACAGATAAGGGTGAGGGGGGTGGGACGGTTTAGTTTTTTAAATTTGTTTCTGCAAGTCTTAGTCAGAGATTGTAATTTTTGCTATTTGAGACCAGAGGAAATAATATAACTATGACATTCTTAGATTAAGCACATTTAATTTAGAACTGCTACTTTTTCAGTAGCTGTCAGGTGAAAATTTAGTTAATGTTTTTTCTTCTGTCTTTTTAAAGACTGGACTTATCACTTACAATGTGGACCGATCGACACCTGCACAGTTTGACGGCAGCAGCGAATGTTCTGACTTGGACCAACAGACTCCATCTGAACCTTACAGCATGCTGGGGGAAGTGGATGGCCATGCTCCTAATAACCCTCTTATGAGTTCATTACTGCCAGGGCCTCCACCACAAGGAGTGCAGTTAATGCCCCCAGGTGTGCATGGATGTGTTTTTGTTTAAATTTTTGTCTCTTTGTCTCTTTGTGCTGCAAAATAATCTTATTCTGCTTTACTTTTTTGCAGCTCCCACTTCAATTCTTCAAGACAAAATGGCTCCTCCTCAGCCTTTACTCTGTAATGATGCGCCACAGGTTTACCCAGTACCCCTTAGTGGACCACCAGGCCAGGTCCCTATGCCAGGATTTCATCCACAAGATCCTGGCCTTGCCCCTCCCCCCTTCCAACCTCAATCTGAGCAGTTGGAGGTCTATCCAGGAGCCCATCAGCAACATTTTCCTTCTTCACAAGAGGGACAAATGTCACCACACACATTTCCTTCACAGGTGCCACATTCACCTATACAGATGATTCCCCTACCGTTACAAATGCCGCAGCACATGCCACCTTCTCCTAGCCACATGCCACCTATGGAGCAGCCTTCCCTGGCTCCTCCAGAGATGCACAGTGCTCATCAAATCTCAACGTCCCCACCCAGGAGCTCCTTCACACCTCAGATGGACTTGTATGACCATATGGCTAACATGGTCAGTATTTGGCACTCTTTTTATGATGCACATCCTTTTGTTTAAGAGCGTGGCACAGAAAATGCTTACTCGATTGTCTTTTTGGTACCGCAGGCTCCTGGCAGAACTCGAACAATTTCACAGTCTTCAATGCATATGGTATGTTTGTGTTCCACCAAAGGTGCTCACAAATGGTACAATACACAAATAAGCCAAAACATTAAACCTATCTGCATATTAAGAGCTCTGAAATGTTGACGCATGTGCATTACATCTAAGGTAGTCCTGTTGTTTGGCAGTAGAATAATGACCTCTAAGGTCCTGTTCATACCTGGAAATATATATTTGGTTTGGGTGATTTGGTTGCAGTTGGACAGCTGTGATTAAGGATGTGCACACTTGGCAGGTGTTGTGAACCCCAAACTGTTTTTGCAGTTAGATGTCAATTACTACAAGCCTGTGACGATTCTGAAAAACTTACAAAATATTCAGACATTTAAAATATATTATTCTTTTGACATTACCACATTTCAGAGCTATTTGAGTGGCATATTTGTGGCGTTAATCTTAATGATTTTAATTACATAACAGACACAGTATGGGAGAACTATAATTCATTGATTGGTGACTTCACAGTGCCTTGTGTCAGAGCAAAGACTGAGTTGAACGTGAAACTGCCACAGTGACAGCCATTAGTTGTTTTACTCCATTTCACTGTAAATATAACATTAGCACTGTGTTCAATTTAATAAATATAATTCATTTCAGTTTGTTTATATAGCTCCAAGCCACAACAAAAGTTATCTCACTGCACAAAAACCTTCACGTACATAAAAATGTCATTAATAATGTTATTTATCTAAGGAATGCAACCTAATCCTAGTCAGACTGTTGTTCTATAATTGACACATCACATTATAGCTTACAATGACCACAGCACGTTCAACCAGATTGTGTTCAGAGTACCAAACATATGCAGATTAAAGGATCTAGATCACATTTTAAAGGAGTTTGAGTGAAAACATGTTAATGCAAATTGAGGCTGTATACACTTGTATTTCTTGCTGAATGCAATCCGTTGGCTAAGGATGGATTTTAGTGCCAGCTATGAACAGGATCTAAATCTTTTGGATGGTATGGTAAGGTCAGTACACATTAGGCTTTTGCTAGTTTTACTTGGTTCAGAGTGAAGTATGCAAACCGGATCAAATAGTGAGGCTCAAAAGGCATTCGTGTGTCTACTCCTCAATATGAGTTTTCACAGACTCTAGCCAAACAGCCTGTTTAGCTCACACTCCTGTTTAGAACACCGTTTAAATTAGCTTGAATATATTTTAACTGAGGTATTTGGGAAAAACCCACAAAAGCACAAAAATAAGAAGTCCACACAGAAAGGCCTGCACAGCTGAGATTTGAATTGAGGCTCTATGATTAACACAAGTGAAAGGGCTGGCTGCATCACTAAGCTGCCTTTTTCCTGTATTTTGATCAGTATTTTCTGTCGTGCAGGCATCGGGACGCAGCTCTCGCAGAGCATCAGAGTCGTCAACTCACTCTGGTGGAAGAGAGCGAAGCAACTCTGCTGTGAAACAGGTGTCTCCGCCGCCTCCCTCGATTCCTGAACAGCCACGTAAAGAAGAGGCCAAGAAAGCCAAGAAAGACTTGCCTGAAAAGGTTCACTTTTTACATTTTGGCTCTCAGATCTTAGTCTTTAGTCTCAGTGTTGAATGCAATTTTTCTTTTGCTCACAGAAAAGCTGGTTATTTTGGCCCTTTGGAAAGAGGAAAAATGAGGCTCACTTGCCAGATGACAAAAATCCCTCTGTAAGCTGCTTTATCTACATTTATTATTTTCTCACCACTTTGCATGCCATATGATTTGTTTTCAGTGGGTGCTTTTAGTTGAAACTTTTGAAATCTTTGTTAGATTGTGTGGGATGAAAAGAAGAACAGATGGGTTGACTTGAATGAACCTGAAGAGGAGGTCAGTATTTTTTTTGTTTGATTGTGTAAATGTCTTGTATTTTTCATCATGTCTGAACACGGTGCAAATTAACCAGTCCTGGTGGCTTTGTCTTCTCTGTTCTGTAGAGTAAGCCCCCTCCTCCACCTCCCACTGGTTTTCCTAAGATGCCTGGTCCTGGAGGGCCCACTGCTCCACCAAGTAGTGGTGCACCTGTCAACATTTTTTCCAGGAAGGCAGGTGAGTTGTTGTTTTTATGTGAATTTTTCTAAACAATGTGAGGCATGTACAGAATTTTATTTTTCCAGATGTTTTCATTTCAAGTCAGTTTATTTATATAGCGCCAGGTCACATCAGAAGTCATCTCAGGGCACTGAACAGAAACATTAATATATAAAAATAATAATTTAACACATTTAGTAGATAGCTGTGAAATTTATTTAATTCTGCTTTTAATATTCTGGCCCAAGGTTGGTCAAATGGGGGAAATTTTATTTTTAACATAATTTTCTGTGATCTTTATATAATTTGATATTTTTGAGCACAAATGTACCATGCTTGCCGCTGTACACGTTGCACCACCGTATGTCACGTCTGTTATGCGTCACAGCTGATCACTCGGAAACGTGGGCCGGTGTCGTGCTAAAAATCGATTGGCTGCCAAATGGTGGCCGCAGGAGCGTGCACGGGAGGACTTTAACAAGATTAACTCTTAAATTCAATTATTTGTTTGCTCAGCATTATAGTAAAGCTGTGTCTCAGTTGAACTTTTCCTTAATAATAATAATAATAATAATGTCATCACAATGTCAGCACTGTATGTTTCCATACAATGGCGAAATTAGTCTCTGCATTTAACCCATCCACCACCAGGTGGTGCAGTGGGCAGCTATTGAAAGCGCCCGGGGGGCATTTTGGGGATGAGGCGTGCTGCCCAGAGACGCCACGTGATGTGCAGTGACTGGGGATCGAACCTGGGACTTTCGGGTCCCAAGCCGGCTGCCCTGCCTCTACACAATCTCGGCCCCCATATTATAAATGCACTTTAATGGTCAAATCAGCTGCATTTCACCTGGGTGGCGGGGCGAAATTCAAGGATTCAAGGATTTTTTTTTTTATTGTCATACCAGCTCACATTTTCATGTTTGAGGTACGAAATTCAGACTCAGGTCCCAGATCAAGAAACCTAACAAATAAATAAATACAAAAGAGTATGTGTGTGTGTGTGTGTTTGCATGTGTGTGTGTATAATACATATTGCCGCCTGCTTGAGGGGAGGGGCTGGAACAGACTGTGCAGGATGAGTGTAGTCCTTCATGATGCAGTGCGCCCTCCCCTTGCATCGTGAAGTGTAGAGGTCCGAGGTGGTGAAAGGCTGCTCCCCACAGTCCTCTGTGCAGCCTTAACCACCCTCTGCAGAGCCATCCTCTTGGCAGCAGAGAATGCTCTCCACCATACAGCGATAGAAGCTCCTCAGGACAGAGCTCCCACTAACAAATCAGCTGATTGGACATTTGCTCCAAGAGTTCCGGAGCGAGACGAAGGTGGCTTTGTATGGCAAGCAAAGTGTCTCATTAATAGCCACTTTTGCCTATTAATGATACACTTGGCTTGCCATATGACTCAAGCACCTTCTAGTGGCTGAAAATGGTAGTGTTCAATATTTTCCATGTCAGAATGAATGAAATTGTCAGATCTCAGCCAAAAATTGGTTTATAAATATGAGGAAAAAAACACAAGTCTCTCCTTGTATACGTCGCAGGGCATGCTAATTTATGCAAAAAGGTGTAACTTGTACAGTGAAAAATACGGTACACCTTGTTCTTTTTAACTAAGCTTTGATGATCATGTCCCTAGCTAAAATCTTGAAGTTAACCACAATCAGGCCAAACTTGATTTTTTATTTAAATTTATTTATTTTTGCATACGTTTGATTTTTAGGCTGGTATCTTTTAACAGTGATACATGACAACTATGCATCAGTACGTGTTTCTTTTTAAGTTTACTACTCTGATGTATCCCTCTCTGTAGGTACCAGGAGCAGATATGTGGATGTTCTGAACCCGAGTAGAACCGTCAAGCCAAGCGGAGGCGCCCCTCCAGTGGACATTTTTGCTCCTTTGGCACCAATGGCCATGCCTGCTAACCTGTTTGTGCCTAATTCAGGTGTGTGGCATGGCATCAAAATGGAACTGTTAAAAATGTATCAGAGATTTGTTGGATTTGAAAAAGAAGCTACAAAGCAACTTACAGTGATTAAATGTTTTATTTTTCCATTTCTGGTGAAGCTCCTGATGATCTACAACCTCTGGAGGGAAGTGAGGGAGGAACTCAGGAGCAGAATTCACCAAACTCCACCGCTGCTCCACAGGTTGATTTGTTTTATTTAGTATTTTTTTTATTTTATTTTGACATTTATAAACAGAATCACTTTCTGGCTTTTTTAATTAAATTTAAAAGTCTCAGGATTTGGATTCATTTTATTAACACTTGATAGTTAATAGATCCTCAAAGTTTGATTCTCATCACACATTTGGTGGTTTGGGAGGGATTAAGCCAGTCTACAGAAAATACAAAAATAATTCAACTTAACCAGAAAACTCTCCTCTGTATTATTTTGATCTGCTCAGATGTTCAACCCAACTTTGTTACCACCAGCCTCAGAAGGTCCTCCTTGTCCTGATGGTTCTCAGTCTGGGGAGGTAACGCTCATTTCCTTTATAACTTTAGCTATAACTGTGCTTCATGCCTCCAGTGATATATGGTGCTTGACAACTATCAGCCAGCTTTTTTGTTAATTAACGTAAGAGAAAAAACTGAGAATGCATGTATGTCAACTTAAAATCTTTCATCTTCCATCCGTCTCATGCTCAGTACCTGAATACTCTCATTTTGTAACACATTTTACTGTTTTCTTTTTTCCAAAAACCCAAATTTTCTAACGTTGATTTACCTCATTTTTATTCTGAACTGTTGAATAGTGAAAACTGATCTAATCAAATGCATGAAAGGTTATTAATATGGGTTTGTGGTTATCTATTTTCTGTTTCCCTCCTACTTCTTCTTTTTTTTTTTTTTTTAGCTGTCACGTTCTAGCTCAATGAGTTCTTTATCACGTGAAGTGAGTCAGCATTTTAACCAGGTATTTCTAGTCGGGCGTTAAGTAGTTCCTCATTCTTTCCCGCCTTTCTTTTAAGATCCCATAATCATCGTCGTCATTGTGTTTTATCGTTTACATCCTAAATCTTTGCTGTGCAACACATCCATGTCTGCCTGCTCAACCACCAGCTGTTTCCAGCATTTATAACTAAACTTTGGAGCTAGAAAGAAAAAAAGCTAAATGGAATTGTCAGCTGATAAAAATCAAACAAAATTGGATGTTCTGATGGATGCTCGATAATCCAGGTAGAAAAATCTAAAAAAAGTTGTCTGGTTAACTCTAAACATTCAAAAAACAAAACAAAACAATGAATGTCCAGAGGAACACACTTAACTTTTTTAGATTTTTCTGTCTGGGTTATTGAGCATGCATCAGGATATTGCTAAATGAATATTGCGATCATGTTAAACATGCCAATCTGGTTATAAATTATATAAAGAGTAGTGAGGAGAGCTGAGTTTAACATGCTGGAGACAGTTGCAACGATGCTCTCAGGAGAACGAAGCGTTGCTAACCTCACAGCCTGCATGGCAACTAAACATACGTTTTGTAGCGCTGCCTTATTGTGAAGTCATCCAGCGTTGCTTTTTTCACTCTCCTGTTTAGTTTAGTTTTTTTATCCCAGAATGACACTGGTCACATATCCTCTTGATGATCTGCTGTACAAACTTATACAAACTTGTAATCACTGTAATCCACTTCTCATTGGACAGAATCATCCTGTCCAGGGACCTCCACCTGCCGGAGGCGTCACTTTTTATAACCCTGCACAGTTTGCACAACAGGTGTGGTTATAAAACGGAAAGCTGCTGTAATTTTCAGTTGCTTGTATTTTTGCGTCTTGTTCACTTTGTGATTTTTTTCTGTGTTTGATCCAGACAAGTGCACCATCGGGAGGTGGACTACGTTCTGGCCGTTTGGGCGGTCAGCGCCAGTACCCAGTGTTGAAGTAAACATCATCCAAGGAAAAGATTGTCAACAGCCTCGCTGGACAAACTGAGACTCAGAGGAAATGAAGCACATGGACATACTGCTCTGTCTTAAGGACTCTTCTTTTTGCCTTTACACAAGAGGAGCTTCATCACATCATGATGGTCTTCGTCCAGCTTAACCACTATTCTTTTCTTTTTTTAAGGCCCAGTAGATGTCACTGGTGTTGTGTTTTGAGCACAGTGTCTTTGAAGGGCTTATTCCTGCAACCAAACAGGAAAACTTGTAGAAAAATAATTTTTATCCTGTGCTTATCCACGATACACAAACTGTGTTGGCATAATTTAGTGTACGATAAATGTGTTGCTCCATTAAAGCTGCCAGCATCCCCTTAAAATTCACTGGTAAGATCATCTCGTCTTGTTTTACGCTTCTGTTTGAGCTCCAGATGTCTGGGTGTGTGAAGGATAGAAAGAAAGTGGCACCTTTTATTTTCATAATGTAGACTTGTATGTGCAGCTTTTTTTTTTTTTTTTATTTATCTGGAAGTGGCAATTAGTGTGAGAATGATTTGTGTCAACGTGCTTTGTGTTAGCTTTTTTGTTTCACTCGCCCTTCAAGAAAAGAAGCATGAGACAGAAAAGTTTTAGGACGCTGCTTGTTTCACGTATTTATTTAAATGTAATTTTGTTCTCCCCCCCCATTAGCCGATCACCTTCAAAGATGTCACGGTCTTTGTCCACATTTATCTCAAAACTTTGAGCAGAGAAATTGAAAGTGAAGCAGTGGTCAGAGCAGCAGAAGCCAGGGTTAAAGATGCATTTTAAACAAGAAAATGAAGCTATTCAGATATTTGTATATCAGACTGATTGTATTTATGAAACATAGGCTTAAAAGAAATGTGTGTGTGTGAAAAGCTACTAATTTTTAAGTCAATACTTTGTCAAAAAAATGCATTTATGGTTCAAGAAATTACAATCATATTCTAATTATTTGTATTGACTGCTTCTGCATACAAATAAACCTTTAAACTGTAAACGGAGTTAGTTTTACTCTAAATGTGTCTCGTCATTGACTGACTGGTGTTCCTCTTAATGTAGTCTTCTGTCGTCTCGTGTTTAAGTTTGTAGACATCGGTTTGATTTTTTCCAGATCAGGTTTAGTTTCAGAGGCACTTTTTAAGATTTTCATGAAGAATTACAAACAAAAACAGAAAGGAAACAAATAGTAATAAAGATATTTTTGCTCTGTAGCATTTGAAAAGATGTCCAATGGTTTCATTTACTACATAAAATAAGATTCATCACCATTTTTTGTTTCCAAATGAGTATGTTAAATTTTAATCTTGAGTTTACCAATAAAAAGCACATGGATTAAAACTCAAAATCAAGAGTCTTAGTTATGAAATGTAATTTATTTTGAATATTTTTTACAATAAAAAGTATTTCACTTTAGAACAAAACACGTTTACATTTTTATTTTTTTTAATTAACATTAAACATAATTGACAAGCCTTTATTCAGACAAACTAGTAACAAAACTCCAGCTGTTCAAAACAAACTCTTGAAACTGGGAAACAGCTGAGACAAAAGTATGAGTTCTCCAGTTTGTACATTTTAAGAACCAAAATTTAAGACAAAATGTGATTAAAAAAATGTTAGGACACCATTTTCTAGATAATTTCATTATTTATGAAAACTTTAATGAAAGAAAAAATATAATCTTGAACAAGTGGGTTTTTTTAAGTGCAATTTGGACAGATTACTGATTTTTTAAATTAATCAAATTACATGTTTAATATGAAATTGCTATTAACCACTTATCATGCATGTTTTATAATATATAATAATAAAAAAACGCCTAAACGTCTGAGGTCATTCAGAAATTGTTTGATTATAAGACATGGGAGGTAAACTAACATTATTTATTTGTACCAGTAAAAAACTACTGATTCCATAACAGAAAAACTTTGTTTTCCACTTTTTTTAACTTTGTTTTGGATCATTTGGGCTAATAGACAAGAATTTTATCACATTTGTACAGGGTGTGCAAAATCAACCTCAACACCATATGTTTTAATATACTTTGCATGCATTGTTCAGTACAAACGGATTTGCCCAGCTTGTTAAAACCAGCTTTTTGTTGTTATAGTAAAACTATATATCTATAAGTAAAACATCTTTTATAGTGTTTGCAATTTTTGTCATGCTGTAAGATGAGCAGCAGTTTTGGAAAGTGCCAGTACTGTGTGAAACTCTGGGAAATTAGCAGCAAAAACTCACAAAATGATATATATATAATCTTTTCAGTTGTTTTATTTGCTGACGTTAGTACAAAATATTGAACATCATTATGCATTTATGCATAATTTGCTGTCTTTTCTAAAATTGGCTATACATAAAACTAAAGTATTATGGTTGACAACATTTAATTCCCTTTCTTTAAGATCCTTAAATAAAACCCCTCTTATAAATTACAGTAAACGGTTTAATCAAGTATTGTGTGTGATCTCTTTGTTAAAGAATTGATGATTCATCATTTTTCATTAACCACTGAAATGTGTTCAGTTCAGCTCAGAAATTAAAGTACCATTTTTTGTTTTCTATTTTCAGCTTTGAGTCTTTCAGAACTGAAATAACTTCTGTTCGTCCTCGGTCCACTTCAGAGTCTACTCGAAACGAGTCCTACCATCTATACGTTATCGGAGTTTATTAGTCACTGATAAATATTATGATGTTGGGTGTTTTTTCATCTTCTGTTCGAGAAGGTTCAGCTCTGGGTGTTCAGCACTGTTTGTGCTTTTTGAACAGCGGCTTCCAGCATCGTGTGGTCACTGAGCAGCTGTTGGAGCGCTGCCAAGTCCATCTCCAGAAGCATTCCTGAAGAAATGTCAGAGTATTAGGCTTGTGAGTTTTCAACACTTGATAAACCCCCATACAATAAAAACGTCCAAAGGTGTAGCAAATTTGATGTTAAATTCAGTACCGGTAATGTTGTTTGCATGAAGTGGATCCATCTCCACCACCAGTGAGAATATTTTTTCCCCCAGTTTGTCTATGTCGTCAATTTCTGAAGAGTCACTGATGTCCGTCTCGTCCACATTTTGCCTGAAAAAAAGGTACAGACTTTACATCAGTCATTTATATTTACTCTTTAATAGTTTGTAATGTTTCATAATTTATTAAAGGCTGTGCTGCAGCACATGACGGAGCAGAAAATTAATTAAGTAAACAACATAAGCAAATCTAAAATCTTGCAGATAAAAGATCAAAAGACTGGATGAACATGGACATGATGTTTGTAAAGGATATGAGTTATGTTACTAAACCATTTACATATGTGTAATTTATCATTTTCAACAGGAAAATTTCCAGAAAATATGAAAATAGTGACGATTGTTCCTCTTTATAAGAATGGTGAGAAATATGTGTTCACTAATTACAGACCAATATCCTTGTCACAATTTTCAAAAATATTACAGAAATTATTTGTAACCAGATTAGATCGATTCATAGATAAACAGAATAGTTTAAGTAATAGTCAATATGGGTTTAGAGCAAATAATTCAACATCAATGGCTCTCATGGAACTAATAGAAGAGATAACAGCTGCTGTTGATCAAAAACAGTATTGTGTTAGCGTTTTTGTTGATTTGAAAAAGGCCTTTGACACTATTGACCACAACATTCGCCTTGAAAAACTGAATAAATATGACTTTAGAGGATTAGCACTACAGTGGGTATCCATTTATTTGAATAACAGGAGACAGTTTGTACAGTGATGCCAGATGTGAATTTTGTGTTAATGGATGTGGAATCCCTCAAGACTCTGTGATGGGAGCAAAGTTGTTTATTTTGTATATGAATGATCTGCTTGATGTGTCAGGACTTTTGAAGTGTTTTATTTGCAGACGATACTACATTTTTTTTGGTTCAGGTGAATATATTGAACAGATGTTAGAGATGATACAGGCAAAATTCGTAAAAATACAAACTTGGTTCCAACTTAATAAGTTACCATTAAATTTGGAGAAAACAAACCACGTGCTATTTAGTAATAGAAAGAAAATTATCAAAGTCCCATTTAAAATTGACAGTACTGAAATTCATAGAGTTAATGAAATAAAATGTTTGGGTGTCGTTATTGATGAGAAGCTGACATGGAAATCTCATGTAAATTACTTAAGAATAAAAATAGCAAAATCAATTACATTACTGTATAAAGTAAAATAGTTTTTCAATGACAAAGCTTTGTATATATTGTATAATGTAATGATTGTTCCATATTTAATCTATTGTATTGAAGTTTGGGGAAAAGTATGCAAAACAAGTACAAATCCTGTTTATATTTTACAGAAAAGAGCTATAAGAATTATTAGTAGGAAGTGCTGTGGTCACCCAACAAATACATTATTTCATAAGTTGAAATTATAAAAATGTTATGATTTGGTTGAATATAGTACTTTACAAGTTATGTATGAAGCTCATAAAAAAATACCCCCAAATATTCAATTAAAATTTGTTAAAAGAGAGTTGTTATAACCTTAAGGGAATAGAAATGTTTGTAAAACCTCAATTTATAACTAGTTTGATGGAGCTGCGTTGTAATTCAGGGAATACGACTGTGTAATTGCCTCGATATCACCATAAAATTTTCTAAAACTATTTATATGTTTGAAAAGATGATTAAGGTAAAGTTGTTGGGAAGGTATAGTGCCAGGTGAAGGATACCTGATGTTTTTTGTTTTCAATTTGGAGATTTGAAGAATTTTTTTCTTCTTTCTGCACCCTTTTCATTCAATGTTTTTTTTTTCTATTTGATGAATTTGTTTTATTTTAAATGAATGAATAAATGAAAAAAAAATCTGAGTTTATCCTGCTGACAGTGTAAAGTTACAGACTCTTTTATTGTCTTCAGGGCGAGATTCACATGCTTCTCCAGACATTTAGGGTCTGATAGAAGGTGTAAAACTGCATCTTTGTGCTGCTCCAAAAGCATTCCTGTGGACAGACAGAGAATTATATTTTAATGCAGGAACAAATTACTAAACAATAAACCGAATATAGTCACACAAATAAAAACTCAAATGCTAAAATTAGCATTGGCAACATCCACACACTGACTGACAATTAACAATTTTCATTATATGGACCATTTACCTTTGTTTAAATTGTTAGCATGCTAAAAAAAAATGGCAATAAACTCAAAATAGCTGTCTAATAATAATGAAATAGTTTATTTTGACATGTTTGACTTGATGTGTAGAGGAATGATAAAGAGAACTTCAAAGCTATTGATGACTAGAACAGTCAAAACTTTATGTCACTTTATCTTTGAATTTGATTATATCAAAGCAGACTAAAAAAGATAAAATCAGCTCAAAGTGTCTCAAAAAATAAAAACAGTTTCACGCATGGTTTCATCATTCTTAAACCAAGTATCACCTCTGTATTATAAATGGACATTAGAATATGCTAGAACATTCTTTTTAACTTCTCCAGCAATAAAATGGCAAAATCACTTTGTCTTCTACCGGTATTTGAGTTTAATAAGCATGAGGATATGACACTTACCTGTAATTTTCTGTGAGTGACCAGTGTTGTAAACATCCACCAGCTGAAACAGCTGCTCCCCCATGGAGTCAGAAGACACAGAAGCATCATCTTCATCTTTAAGTGTCACCTCACTGTAAAGAAGTGCAGGAACATGAGAATAAACAACATGAAAGGGAATGTTTTGTTCAAATAAACACATAAGTGAGATATTTAAAGAAGCTAAAATATAGCCAGGGCCAACTGAGCAATAATGTGAAAAAAGTAAAGACAAGAGATACAGCCTCAGTAGTGCAAGTTTAAAAACAATTGCTTAAGGATGTTGTATTGGAAAAAGTCAAGGTATATTCCACAATTTTATGTGGAATCACTAAAGTTCTATGTTATCTTATCTTACCTTCTATGTCCTTTTTATAATTTAAAAGTAATTTAAAAGTTGTCACAAGAAACAACAATTTACCTAGAGTATTGGGATTGCTAGCATGCCAGTATGGTTTATGACTGTTTATACTTACATATTACCGGAATACAAAATTATATAAAACACCACCTACCGTAATTAATATCTTGGGATTTATTCAAATGTCTACACTTATAACACCCTAAAGAAAAATCACTGTAATGCCACTTGATTGTTGATATGTGCTGCGGACGATCCATGATGCTGATTTCATGCTGCTGATTTATTGCATGTTGCTGTGTTCATTCGTCCTCATCTGCTCACACAGACTCATGTTCGTGCTGCTGTTGTTTGGCCCATTGTTTTGTACTATTAGTGCTTAATACAATATATTCTTAGTTTAGCGTATTTCTTAGTTCATATCTTAGATCTTACTACTGTTTTTTACAATTTGTATTTTTGTTGGATGTAACTGGGACCCTGTGTACATAGTTTCATTCCACCTCATGTACCACATGTGATGTGAATGACAATAAAGAACCTTGACCCTAAATCCAAAGTAACTATGTGCTATTCACTGTCCCACTCCTCTCTGGGACTGTTTTAAGTGTCAGAAACCACTGTCACTGCTTGTATCTCCTGCTGTTTGTTCTACCTGGATTTGTTTTCCAGCTGCAGAGCTCTGACAGCTTTATCCACAGCTGCTGTCAGCATGGTCTCATCCTGCAGCATCTGGCTCAGCACAGGAAGTGGCAGCTCCAGTAACATGCCTAAAACATAATCAGGCTCCAAAACATTGTATTCATAGCAAATTGACTGTATCATAACTGCTATTTATCTAGAATATAAAATAAGGTGATTTATTATAGCACAATAGAACTGGGCCCTCACCTGTGAGTTTTCCAGCACATTCCTTGTGTTTGGGGTAAATAAGATTGTACAGTTGTTCACCAATTGACTCCAGGTTTTCTTCATCCATGCTCGTTTTTGTTCACATTTAAATTATTCTTTTACTTGCCTGAATAAACCAGATTTTATAATGACTAGTTAATAATAATAATAATGACAAGTAACTTTCACCTTTGAGAACTTCCTATCCTCGATCCATCAATTTAAACGAAATGCTATTCAGAAAAAGGTATACAAATAAGTAATTTGCCCTGTAAACATAATTTAATTTACCCCGGGTTAGCCTATCGAAAGCTCGCTTTGGAGAATAAAATAGCACGTTTGTCTTAGACTATAAAAAAAATAGGATTTTAGGACAAATTTCTAACAGTAAACACACGACGCACATTAATGACGTCATATGATGTGCCATGGCCGTATAAAGAGATGGTGCTGGATGTGTCCTTCCGCTTTTGGAAAGTGGAACTATTTTATTTGTAAAAACATTTAGTATGCCACCATAATCACAGGTTTTGGCCCTAAAGTCTATACTTAAATAATTATTGTAACATACATGTATGGGTATAATCACGGATTTATTGACAAACTGTTTGAAAATGATAACGTTATGTGCGCAAGAATCTCTGAAATGGTTCCGTAAAGCGGCTTCCGGTCTTTCTGATCCTTTTCCTCGGCTAAAAGGTAACGTGGTCGCTTCTGCCCGTAACACTTAGTGAATAAATTTTACTTGTTTTCTGACTATGGCTGCATTTAGACCAACAAAATGTTATTAATTACAGTGTTTATTACTAAATATACAGTTTAACACCAAACTTGTCTGTCGTTTTAAAATATAAACGTAAATACGTCGCCTAGCGTAGGCCTCACCGGCGTGTACAAGTCTACGGGTGGTAGAGCTAATGTTAGCATATTTGTGCTAAAATTTTGTTTCAAGATGCAAAAGCAAAATTCAGATCAAATCATATATTCTTAAGCATTAACCTTTACCTGCTTATTTTTAGTATTTTAGTTTAACTGGTTAAAACATTCCAGCAGCTGGTATGTTGAGCATTTGGAGATATTTAAGTTTAAAAGAAGCTGTGAAATGGCTAATATCACAATTTCTAATATCCCTTGTTTCGCTCAGGTTCATCATGTCGTCCCATTTGCAGTGGATGGTCATCAGGAACTGCTCCAGTTTCCTCATCAAGAGGAATGGACAGACCTACAGCACCGTAAGTGCTCAGTAATGGGAGAGTAGTTTTATGTATTTCTAGAGAAAGTGGCTATGTTGTGAAAAAATATGGAAGTTGTAGTTAAAACCTGTTTTAAAATTAGAACTTCATATATGTTAAATAAATGCAGCTGATTACACTTATGTATTTTTTTTTTGTTGAGCTCACATTCTCATTTTTATTGTTTTCAGCACTGCAGCTTAGATTTGTTACGTTAAGATATAGTTCTTTAAAATGAATGAGCTCAAATTATGCAAGTATAGTATTAGTACTGTGTACTGAATGTCGCTGCGGTTAACAGCCTTCCATTCACTTTGACAAACATGTTATACAAGCTGCAAGTTTAGTAAATTAAATTTACATGAATAACATTTGTGTTGCAGGAGCCAAACAATCTGAAGTCCAGAAACTCCTACCGCTTCAATGGCTTGGTGCACAAAAAGACTGTTGGTGTGGAGCCAGCTGCCGATGGCAAAGGTGTTGTTGTGGTTCTGAAGAAACGTGCAGGTAAAACGTAATGCTGTTTCAACAGGCATTTTCACAAAACAGTTCATGTAAAATGGCTGGTTAGATTAGTCCATCTGCCACTGACCGTTCATGAGTCACTGAGCTGAACACGTCGTGCCAAGTAATAAAGCGAGTTTAGTTGACCCGAAAAAAGCACGCTGATGTAGAGTACCCATTAAACATGCGATGGACGTCTCCCTTGTACCATTTTCGAAACTTGACAGATCCAACTAGTTTACTGATCGTTTTTGTGGTTAAGAACATTCAACTAAATGTAAAATTTGTTGCATCATTTTTCTTTTCTAATGAATGAATCTGCTTAATGTTTAAGCTTTTAAATCCCACATCCAGATCGTAGAGTTGCACTCGGGTCCAAATAATCCGAACCGACCCAGCCCGCAGCCATCATCTCTGAACTCCACCCGATCTGATAAATTAACAATGATTACAGGTCCGAACCTGAACCCCCCCCCCCCCCCCCCCCAAAGCTTTGACTGCTTGTACCACCGACTATTATTAACGGTTGGTGGACGCGCGCAGCTAAGGGGTGCAGAAGATCGGAGCTGAGGATCCGTCAAAGCGCATTAAATGCTTCCTCTGCTTCTGCCTGCATTGGACCCTGCTCTGACATGTCAGATATTTTGTGATCTCACCTGTTTGGGTCATCGGCCGCGTGCATCCACTGAGTTCAGCAGCTGAACGAACGTCCATTTGGGCTGATGGATCACTGGCAGTAGTCTGTTTGAAGCTTAACTGAAATTTTTTTTGCCTCTTTCAACCGGCCGGTCAACGCACAGTCAAATGGCCACGTGCGGCAGGATTATTAAGGCAAGCCATGTTTGCATATATTGGAGTGTTGGCCACACGTGTCCTTGATGCAATAAAAAGCCAGATACCAACCCGGCCCCACACATTATTATGGCCCGGTCCGAATTCGGGTTGGGCGGGGCCGGGCTCTGTGTTCAGGTTAGAAATGACACCTCTACCAGGTCGTTGTACAGACTCATTCCTATAATACATCCTTGAGCTGCAAATCTGACTTGCCATATTTACATGTTGACTGTTACTACTTTGCTCTGCAGCTTAGTGGCCAGTTGGCTTCAATCCCCTTCACTGCCACTACTGTAATTCAGAAATCACACAGATGGTAAAATATCTCAATGCTATCTTGAAGTGGTTTGTGAAAATGCCTTTTGTTGTTGGAAGTGAGAGCAGTGAATAAATTACGCAACCTGCCACCTGTGATTTTATTCACATTTGAGTAAAAGAACAAGAAAAAAAAAAACATTTTTCAAATTCTAAAGCGAAGTAAAGGTCAGTGTTCTAAGTGAAGATGCTCATTGTCTAAATGTAGGAACTTAATTTCTTGTAATTTGAAGCCATCTTCTTTCTCTTCAGTTATTTATTTTTGTACAAACTGAGTTCCAACAGAGATATTAAGCAACGTTTACTGACCGGATGTCTTTTTTTTTGTGTGTGTGTTCATTCAGCTTGTCTTGCTTTGTTTAAATGCCTTTCTTGTTGTTTTGTTGACAGGCCAGCACAAACCTGCCTCATCTTACGTTAAAGTCACCATCAACAAGAACTCCCGTGCCACCCTCAACAGCCTGAGGCACATCATTAGCAAGAACAGATACAGGAAGGACCTGCGCATGGTGAGCTTAACCTGTAACACTTTTAAAGCAAAATCTCATGCTTGGTTATAAAGTTTGCATCAGAATTTCAAGGATATATTTTATTTATTTTTTAGGCTGCTTTGCGTCGTGCCAGTGCCATTTTGAAGAGCCAGAAGCCTGTTGTCGTCAAAAAGAAGCGCACCAGGGCTGTTAAGACAGCATAAACTGATATACATGATGAATAAATAAAAACTTTGTTTGGACAAACAATAGTGTCTCGTTCTCTGTTCTTTAACCATAAGTGGATCTGCTGGTAACCAGTAAAAAGCAAGTTTTAACAGTTTCATGTAAAATAAGTTATACCTTTATATATTTGGTTTTGTAAAATTCCTGTTTACATGTTAAGGTATTAAGAATTAAGGTACTAAATATTTGCTAAATTGTGTCATGCTGATCTTTAAAAATAAGTGAAGGCAAGAAATAAAAGCTCATTTCAACCCTTTTTATGTTGACTGCAAACATCAGCAAATGAACAAGTGCTTTTTCTGACCAATTTTCAAGTTTCTTCCCTCACTAAGTCTAGCTGTAACGCCTGACCTCGTTTAACTCGTTTCAGCGTATACAAACATCAAGAGATGGACCGTTTACTGTGGAAAGTACACAGCTGCAGATATATCAGCATGACAAAGTACGAGCAGCTAATTAAATGTTTTCATTGATTTGTGCAACTAATTGGCACATTCCTTTGGAAAATATATTTTGAATATAGTCTTAAAAATACAGACTTCAGTCACTTATTTATAAATAAGATTATATTGAAGCAAACAGGCTTTCTGCTCCTGTAGTCACTGATGTGGAATCATTTGATAGATTTTAAAGCAGCCCGCTGGCAGCTTTCCATCCATGGCTTTGGAATTAGATCAAACTGTCACACACTCCACCATCACCACCCACTAAGCTGATAAAACATCCCACACCAGCCCTCAGCTGTACCAATGGAGACAAAAGCTCGGTGTGAGAAGATGTGACGGAGTCCGTGCAGCATGAGAGGACTGAGGCCAGCAGTTCTGGTCCTCCTGACTCTGCTCGTGTTGGAAAGTCAAACCTTTGAGCTGCAAGACACAATTCATGCCCTGATAGAGGAGAACATTCACCTCCATGACCAGCTGAAAAACCTCACGCAGGCCCTCAGGGAGCTCAAACGGATGCTCTGGCACCACGCAAATGGTATGAAGTCCACTTTAATCTTCATGTAAACATTGTAAATACATAGAGTGAAGACAAAGAATAGCACATGGATTTTATACAATTCTTTTCAAATGCCATTTATATTAAACTCATACATTTTCGTTGCATATTTAATTCTATGGATCAGTTGCAGTATGAAAACTACAAATCTCTTAATTGTAGAAAATGGTTAACATGAACATAAATTCTTGTTTTTTTTATGCTGATCAAAGTCAAAACTCCTGTTTTCTTTTAAATAGCTCATTTTATTGGTTGACTGCAAAGTCTGGGCTTGTATCTCTTAGCAAAATATATAATGAAACAGAACTGCAGCTGATTTACTTGTAGCTCTTAATTCAAGATGGCTGCCACAGCCAGCTCACCTTCAGCAACACAGTATAACTATAACAGTCATGTTTGGACATTGAGCTAAAATTTGGTGTGGCAGTAGCTGAGAGTCATTCACAGGCTCTGAGCATCTAAATATCGCATGAGATCTAGTGCATATTATCATTTTCAACCAATCCAACTTTATTTATAAAGCACTTTAAAAACACCCATACAGAACCAAAGTGCTGTACGGACCAGTTAAAAAGCACCAAAAGGAATAAAATACAAGAAAATTTTTTTTTAAAAGACATTAACCCTGTCATCTCAACAAAAGATAAGAGTTTAAAACTGGGATGAAAGGTGGTGTGTGAGACGCGCTCCTTCAAGGAATGATAAACCTTTTAAGTCTTTCCTCAGCCATGCTTGGTTAAAACTGGACGACTTTTCTTCAGTCATCAGTTTGCATTGCATCCAAATTATCTGAAAAACATTGTGTGCTCCTGTGCAGAACCAGATCATCACAAACATCACGACGAGGAGGTCCAGCAAATGTGGGACGAATGGTCACAACTCGGTGAGCGCTCGTGCCTCTTCCTGACACTTGTCGTGCTGAGCGGGACAGATGGGGCAGAGGTTGCGCCATTCGTTGGCATTGATTTTACAGCCATGCAAATCTCACAGTATCTGCTGCAGCTTGTTTTCAGTTACATCATGAGTGTTTCTCCCTTCATGGCAGGCATCACTGCAGAAACCTATCTGCTGTTGGAGCACGCCTTTTGTGGACAGGACGCGATGAACTCCACAGCCCCCCTCCATGAGGAAACGGCTCTTCTGCTGCTGGTGCTACCCTGCCTCACTGTGCTGTTGTTCAGCTGCATGTAGGCACCATGAGCCTGCCCTCAGGACTGTGCTGCCCTTTAAATTCCCCCCTGCCAAGCTGATGGTCAGGGGGGATTAAATTAAGAAACCGTAACAGTGAAGATTAATCAGGCAGCGAGTTTTGACGTGTCAGGGATCATCTCGTCCACAGCCCACCCTCATCGGAGCGATTACGGAGCCAGCAGGATGAAGGAGTTGACCCATCTGTATCAGACCTCGAAAGCAGATTCTGCTGTTATAGATTTAAAGTTGGTTCTCTCATTTAAAGTCAATTAATCAACTACAGTAAATACACATAAAGTAAGACCTGGATGGATCTATTACCAAATTTCTAAAACGCTATATAGACCAACTTTATAGTAAATAAATATTAAAGTTGTGTTTGTTGATTTTTACTTCTATGATATTATTTATTAAAGTTTGGCCTGTAACAACTTATATGTAACAATACATTTTCATTAAAAGGTACTCATTGCAAACTATATCAAACAAAAAGGTTATCCTAAACTATATAAAATGGTGCAGTTTGGAAGAGAACTTTTAAAATATAATTAAATACATTTCAATGAGCTTCTGTTGACATGATCATCGTATAACTAAGAGCAGAAAACTGTCAAGTTTTGGTTTTAAACAGAGACTTTGAAAATAAAACTTCTATCGTAATAAGCAGAAACCAGCAATCCTAAACTAACGTCAGGATGACGTCAACCTAAACAGGTTTCTTTGTTGCTAATTTTATCTATTAAAATAAACCAAAACATGAAAAATCTTAACATAGTTTGATTCAAGAAACGATGATTGTGGAACTATGTATGAAATGAAAATGTGCTAACAGCTGAGGAAATCTACCTTTATGTCACTCTGATAACTAAATCTGTAAAATTGCACTTTCTAAAGATCACTCCTGCAACTACACCTACCTGTGACCTATAAGTTAATGCACAATAAAAATACCTTAGACAACTTAAAACAAACAAGACGGTAAATTCAAACGTTTATTTTCTCCACTACTGGAAATGTTACAGCACATAGAAAAAGGTACAAAATGAACTTAATATCAGTTTGAGTTAAAGGTTTTACACTGAGACAAGTTCATCTAATGATAATGTGGCAGAGAGATAAAAAAAATAAATAATACAGGAATGTGTTTTAACAAATGAACAGCAGAAAGTCATGAGTGAAACAAAAAGCACCTAGCGCATCCTTGTCATGTATCACATGATCTTAACGAGTCATATTTGCTCTTTTTAGATGTTTACAGTAGAATGACGTGAAATAACTCACTGCTGTTTGTGTTATTTGAGCATTTACTTCTGGTTTTGCTTTATTAATATTCGGGTGTTTATGTTTGAGTGGTAACATGGTAGCTCCTAGCTAGCATCTTATCTCTGTCATCACTACAGGGTGGTGGTGGGGGCATGTAAATAAATACAACGTATAGTCCAAACAAATATTGCATGTCAGATATAGCTCTAGTCTATATCAAGGTCAGAGTCCTCATCACTCACAGTGCTCTGAATGATGGCTCCATTGCGAACAGTCTTTGGGACGATGGGGGGCTTCTCAGGCAGCAGGCCGCACTCCTGCAGCAGCGCCTCCACGTCTACAGCGAAGAAGTCTTCCCCGAGCTGGTCCGTGAGCCGCACGAAGTTGCCGATCAGGTCCCCTCCTTTGTAGACGAGCAAAGCGGGCAGAGCGCTTTCTCTGAACAGCTCGCTGGTGCTGATGGCCGAGCTGCGCACGCTACAGAATTTAACCAGAGGGTACTCCTGCGCCAGACACATCAGGCTGCCGCTCATGGCCTCGCAGCCGGGGACGTCCGGCTCATAGATGTGGATCACGATCAGCGTGCTTTTGTCCTCTTTGTCTAGAGCCTCCAGGAACTCCTCGCCGCTGTTAAGCTCGTACACCTGCTTGAAGCGCTTCCCGCTGCAGAGCTGGCGTCGCATCTCCTCAATGCGCTGCATCCGGTAATGCTGCAGGAAGTCTTCGTCATCCTTTTCTTCCTGGAGCATGTTGTACTCCTGCATGGTCATCTGTGAAACAACAAGTAGGGCAGGCTTATTAACAATTATTAGAAGAGCCGTTCGAGTCATTTTTATCGATTAAATGTACAACGGGTATAAGACCATTTCAGTTCGGCACCTGTGCTGAAAATAAAGAGGAAGGAGCCACAGGGATCTAACAACGTTAAACTTGTTTAGTTTACTTCCACAGCCTGTGTAGACTAGTTTCAAGAGTTGCAGATGTAATTCCATGCTAAGAGAACAGAAAGTTTAACAGCTTAAACAAAGACCCTTTCCTCCAAGTCATAAACATAAACCTTCCATTTTCTAACTTACTTTGCCTTTAAGCTTGTCCTGCAGCTCTTTCTGTTTCTCTTTGTCCTTTTGCAGATCAAGATCGGAGCGGCAGGTCATCGACAGCTTCTTTATCAGTCTTTCCATCTCATTTTTCTGCTCTTGTCTCTGTTCCACCTCCAGCTGCTTGTACTTCCTCCAGTCATTGATCACACCCTTTGGTCCTAAGATGAAAACAGCCGCTTTTTACCGCAATCATAAAGTTTCACAATCCTTGATAAGTGGTATTGTATAACAGGAATCCTGGGAGTTCTAAGTTTTGTGACAAATAAAGCTTAATATACAGTTGCAATACACACTACTGTTTAAAACGGTGATGAAAAATATAAAGTTTTTGTGGAGAAATACTACCTTTAAAATGATTTTATCTTCATTTAAAGCACAGACAAAATTTATATTTTCCAAGAAGTTACTCATAGCTCTTATGTTACCTGTGTTGACAGAACTTCCATCTGCGCTGTAGTCTATCTCAGCCTCACTGACACCAGCATCACGGACGGTCTTCTTCTCCCCATCTTCATCATCACTGCCCTCATCCTCACTGCTGCTGTAGAAGTACTGCAGCTTCTCGCCCAGTAGCTTGTCATCCAGAGTAGTCATGATACCAGTTCACCTGTGGGGAAACAGAATATACATTTAACAGATTTATACATTCATTTGCCACTAGAATGATGTTCCACACGTTGAGCACATTATTCTGATAATAATCCAGACAGACAGACATCCAAGCTGTCATAGGAAAAGGCTTATTTAAAAAATAGGACGTGTGAGCTGCACAAAAAGCTTAAAAGAGGCGCGTCAGTTCATTAAACATAAGCTGAGAGGCCTTTAATGTGTCTCTGATCCGTCTAAAACCCAACCTCTGAGCCAGACCGAGACAATGTTGATGAATCCCTTACCTTAAAAAAAATAGTTACGATCTGTCTAGATAATTAAACAGCTACGGTATTTCCTTTCGTTAGGTTGCTATTTTGTATTCATTAAATAAACATGTCGATTAATTGAGCTAGTTTTAGTATAAGTGAAATTAACATCTCACCAGTACGTAAAACAATGGCTCGAAGGCATTTTTTTAACCAATGTTACAAATAAAATATCTAGCTGGGTAATCCAATGTTTTGTGCCTGAAAAAGAAATAAAGCCAATATGTTTATTATGACTGTTTTAAGTGGGGCAACTGTAGGAACAGCAAGTTCTGCAAGTTACGCTGGGCTAGGTTAGCCAAGAAGCTAACTAGTTTGACACAGAGGACGCAAGCAACACCGTGTAACTTAAAGCTGCGGGATTTTAGATGTATCTAAACTCGTATGTTTTACTCAAATATAAAATTTACAAAATGTTACTCAAATAAAATCTTACCTTAACTGTTTACAGCTGCTGTGCTTCGATTGCTGCCTCTCTGTAATCTGCTAGCTTAGCAAGCCACGCCTCCAAGCGATGATGCGTTCATGACCCATGTAATATAAAGGTATCTTTTATGTTAAGCTTATTTTGGAATCACTCAGTGCTCTATTGTTTTATATATATATATATATATATATATATATATATATATATATATATAT